CCTCTAAGGGGATACAGGGGATTGTCCCTGTGATAAGGACAACCACAGATGCTTAGGACAATGGTTCAGTTCCCAGAATCTGGGCTTTTTGAGTTCCCTGCAGTTCTCCAGTGATACCTGGGGTTGAGGGAAGAACTTCCGTGAAGACTGGTCCTTATCCTTTCACTGTTAGGGCATATTTCCAGGCGTGTTTTGCTAATGTAACAGACTAGTGTTGCAAGCTATGCTGCTCCTGGGCCCTGCATTGCTGTACACACAGTGGTTGCTTTCGGTCAGTTCAGGAGAAAAAATGCAAGCTTGTGTTTTCTGCTTAGAAAATGTCAAGTGTGCCTGAAACTGGTCAGTGGAGGATAGAGGTGTGTGTCTCAGCCACGTGAATGGCTTGTATCCTGCAGGCACGGGAGCAAGAAAGTCTACTGATGCATTGTCACACAAATTGGTGCAATAAATATGTGATGTCCAGAACAAATGGATTATTCTGTTGCTTCCAGACAGCAATTGTATATATTGTCAAACTATGTGCAGATGTATAGATGTAAAGCAGAGCATAACTAGGCCTAATAGTAGTAATGAGAACATGTGGAAGCATCTGGAACATATGTTGCATCCTGCGTTGCTCACTTCTGCACATTTGGCCCTTTTGTTGCCTTGCACAGCTTCCACACTGGAGCATTATTTAGTAGCTGCCAAAAATCAAGTTCTGATAGAGCAGCTGTGGTCAGCAGGACTCCAGCTGAGCTTGGGACCCGATGGTTGTGGTGGTTTTGGCAACTAGCCAGTTGCCCTCAGCGCTGTCTGAGTTTCTCCTTTTTACAGTCCACACAGTTTTTGTCCTGATTCTTCTTCGGTGTATACATTTTTTAAGTTCCCATGCTATTGTCTTCTTTAGGTTTTAAACTTTCTTTTTTCAGCGCAATCTAAAAACCAGGAAGCCAATGGCTGTGTGATCCTCTGGAGTTAGAGAACAGGCAATCAGAAGTAGCATGACTTTGAGTTACATCAGTACATAAAGTAGGTGTGTCTGGGAGATGCCTGTTTTATTGCTTCTCCTTTCCCTCACCCTCCATGCATGTTCACATACAGATGACGCAACCAATGAAGGTTCCAACAAGCGACTATAAAAGGTTTCCAGAAAGTAGTCAAGGTGTGAATTCCTTCATTTCTCTCAGTTCCTGTGTTGGAGTCGAGGGCCTCTGGGAGATGCTGGCGATGATGCAGATGTAGCTGGTGTCTTCAGGTGATGCAGGTCCATAACTGCCAATACCTGTTTCTCCTTCCTCTTTCAAGCATGGTGTTGGATACAGCAGGCAGACAAGATCTGCAGTGGAATTGTAAGCAAGAGTTGAGCCTGATCCCAAGGGACTTTAATCGTGCCTGCAGATAGCTAAATGCTCAGCCCATAGCCATGAGGCAACAGCCGAGGTGATGACAGTAGTTTCTGGAGAATGGACAAGGTGTGTTTCCCTCACCCCAAATTGAAAAAAGAAATGTGAGGGGAAAATTTAAGTGAAGGGATTAGTGGTTAAGCAGACTGCAGTGCCATCCCACAGCAGTGGCAGTGAGAGTCTTACTTGATGACAAGAGACTGTGCAAGCTGTCTTGTTTGCATGAGCTTGCTCAGGCTGGGCGTGAGGAATGTGCAGGTGCCTTGCAACTTGCCAAGCTGGCTGGCATTGCTGTTGATACAATATGCCTGATGGTCTAAGCAACTTTCAACATGGCAGAATAAATCCATACTTGCATCCCTACAGTGCTATCATGTACATGGGCGTGTGGGCCAGCCAGTGTAAATGGGAAATTGCAAGCAGCAAACGCTTGCCCCCACCTCTTGTGAATGCATTTCCTGGAGATGTCACGTGCCTCAGGCTTTACCAGTGACTCTTGTTTCCCCAACCCTGAGCCCTCTGGCAGCAGAGTAATGTGGGGGTAGTGTGGGGGATGTGTGTTCCCAGCCTCTGAAAGACTGAGGCAGCCTCTTCTGTGATATTCAGCCAGATTGTTTGCATGTCACCTTCTCCATTCTGAAGTTCTGCCTCCACTTGTCATCCTTCCACACTTCTACCATGACACTTTGCTGCCAGCCTGTGATCAGTCCCAGGTGGTGCATGGAAAGAATGACATGTTAAAATATTCCTTCATTTTATTTGCATAACTTTTAGGAGTTTCTTTTGTTGGTGGTTTTGGGGTGGGTTTTTTTGTTATTTCTCTGCTATTTAAGTCATTGAAGGTGTTGCATGTTGTGGGATTTCCCTGTTACAGGGGAGCCTCTTCCTGCTTTTACTACCATGATTTCATTTCTAGCCACAGCTCACTTACAGGCAGCCACTGCCATTCTAACCACCCTGTTACCCAACCTGTATCTGTTGGTCACCTCAGCTTTTCTCTGACAGAGGTAAGAAGTCATATTTTAAAAATGCATGATTGCGTGTGTGTATTTTAACATGCATAAGCAATGCTTGAAAGTTGACAATGCACCATGCTGCCACTATTTTTTTTTTTTTTTTTTTTAATGCACTGTACCATATGGTCACTGTGCTTTAAGCTCAGGGCTGTGTGCTGAAAGCTGCAGGAACTTAGAGCTGCTGTGTGCTGCAGAAGAACAGGACTCAGCTGGTTAGCTGCTGCCAGCAAAGCAGAGGTTTCTGCTGAGACCTAGCAGGTGCTGTGGACTAGGTTGGCTCACCCACCGTCAGGGTGCTGTCACCTTGCAGCTCTGCATCTGTGGAGTTTAATACTGTCCTACTTTCCTCCCCCTTCCTTTCAAACCTCATTACTATGAGCCAAATACAGCTTTCCAGTTCTACTCTGGAGTTTCAGAAAGATGCTGACTGAAGTATCATGGCTAACACACTTATCTTGACCAGTGGAAGCCCTTACTCTGCAGACGTGCTTTACGTAGTGTTAGGTAAAGTGTTGTTCAAAATGCCGTTGGCTGCTGGTATGCTGTCAGTGTTGCCAGCCTTGGAACCGAACAAGTGGGGGTGGCAACAAGCAGTCAGAAAAGGAAATAAGGAATATCTCTCGCAAGCTAGGAATAACTTGAATTTCTGGTGCATGCGAACAAGCAAAAATGCCATCTTCTCACCCACTCCCTTCTTTTTTTTTTTTTTTTTTTTTTCCCCATCTTTCTTTGCTTTTCTTCATGCTATGCCCAAGCTTTCTAAATGTAGGCCACTGTTAGAAACTGCACTGGTTTTGAAATGGTGTTTTACTCTGATTCAAAACGTTTTTCAGATCACTTACTGAAGTATGGAGGGTAGAGTGGTGAGTGCTTAGCTTCCTGTGTACTAGCAGATGATTTTTCAACATAATTTAATTTTGCCTGAAGTATAATCTTTATAACAATGGATACCTGATCATATATTCACTTCTCAGTACACCTGGAGACAAATTGCGTGCTGACCATTCAAATGAGTATTATCATGCAAGTACTAACAGGACTGACTGGGAATAACTAAGTTACGGGTAGGCGTGAGAACCAAAATGATTCTGATAAATTCCCACGTTACAAACCAACCTGTTTGGTTTGATTCAGTACTTATTTTAATGGGAGCAAGGTGATCTAAGAAGAATTTTTCTTGATACTGTCTTGCCTCATGGAAACTATATAAAAGCTATTTGTAGTAATGGTAGTTTACTATTACGTATTTAGATCTGGAGTGATGGTAAGGGAGGGGAGCCAAGTTTAATAACCCAGGAGCGTTATTTTGTCTTCATTTCACTGACAGGGTTCTCAAAGCCCGGGAGACCTTCCAGAGCTGTATCATAAACTTTTGGATTAATGTGATAGAGTGCTACCCTTGTTGCTTTGTTATCGTATATAGAGCCATGCATACCTATGAGATGGATTACTTATGTATAGGGAGGATTATAAGATATTTTCAATCTCGGTTGGCACTAGTATCTTCAGGCCACGTATCTAGTTCCAATCTTGGTACAGATAATAAAGCCCCCAGGCAAACCAAGCTAGGATTATTTTATTGTAAAATACACTTCAAAAACTCACTCAGTTGTTCATATGGTATCTTTTATGTTCCTTTGCTCCTGTTTTTCTTTGACTTAGCCTTGTGCTTGCTGGAACCTTAAAAGCGTAAAACAGAAAAAGGGGTTGGAAGCAGCAGAATAACTTCCTTATATTGTGTGGTTCTCTAAAAATGACATCAATAAAAATGTGATCTGTGCCTTGAAACTATTGTATGATTTTACTCTGATGTATGCTTTTCTATTTGTTTGTTTGTTTTCTTCTCTATTTCAGGCCAAACAAACAAAATAGCCAAGGAGGCAGCCAACAGATGGACTGGTGTGTATGCATTTATATTGCTTAACAGAGCTTCAGATTAGAACAATTTCAGTAAAAGACCTACTCATTGTTAAGAATCTTAAATATCATTAGGACTTGACATAGGATGGGCCTCACTTATAAGAACATGCAGAAATATATTTTGCTTATAAATTATCATGATTCAAAAAAAATATACATTTTCTCAGTCTAGTTACTGAACATGCTTCACATCACATAACGCGTTTATTCTTCTGGTGCTATCTTGCACACCATGTTAAAACCTGCAGCTCATTTTCTTGGTTGAGTAAAAATCTCTTAAGATGAGGAAAACATTAATGGAAAGAGATGGTGGTGTCCAGGTATTCCAAACGTTTAATGCTTCTTTTCTGAGTTTTCCTCTGTTTCTAAAGAGTAGAATGCTTTGTGGAACCTTATTGCTGTTGCCACATGATGGATGCTAATATAAAGTAGGTGTTTCTAAAACTAATTCATCAGCTTTGACAGGCAGGAAAAATGCATGGTTTTGAGGAAGGTTACTGTGATAACACTTGTATGGAAGTTTAACTCAATGTTCTGTTGCTGCTTAGCTTTGCTACATTGCTATATATTTCCATTTTGCAGAGCAAGCAATATGTATGTCCTCATTTTTTTCCAATTATTTAGAATAATGTTCATAATGTTTTTCTTTAGAATTCATCTACTACTGATGGACTGCTCGCTAGCATCAGTTATGCCAAGTGCAGCAGGATATCATCGTCATAGTCTTTGGACTATTATTATTTTATGTCTTCATTTTCACTGGGTTGTTCACTGCATAGGGAGAAATAAAGTTATGTATTTAAAAATAACTTCTGGGAGTCCTGTTGTCAGGCCTTTCTGCTGCTGATGACAAGCTGTTGTTCTTAAGGTCTTGAGAGAGTTAAGGGAACTATGCCGCAGCCTGTAGAAAGTGCTTTGCTGTTTAATTTGACAATTAGGTTATATGCTGTAGCATATTTTTCTTCAGAAGAGACAGTTTTAAAACCAAATCTCTGGTTAAAGAAAAGAAAACATTTCTAAGGTGCGCAGACACAGAGAACGCTTCCTCTCTTAAGGAATGCTGCAGTTTATGGGGGTTAGCAATGAAGTAGTGCATTGCAATCAATGCTGCAGTGAAAAATGATGTTGCATCGAAGAGAATGTATATGCTAAAATAATAGTAATGTGCTGCTGAAAGAGAAATGCTGCCTAAAATAAAGCTACTTAAATTCTTTTTTTTTTTAACTTTCAAACAAAATGCACGTTATCTGAACAAACATAAGCTCCTTTCTAGCCCTGCATATAGTTACTTTGAATCAGATTTTCACAGTTGTAGGCAGCCACACAGTAGGCATCTAGTTGAAAAAGGACTTATAAAATACTTGTTATGCATATTCACACTCTCCTCATCGCTATATAGCAGGCTTACACTGTAACTGTAGCTTTCCATCCTCTCATAGAAGAGGAGCAAGCAAAGATAAAAGTAACCTCCAAAAAAGAAGACATATTTTACTTACTATTGAGTAAAAGTCTATCATTAGCAAAAGGTGTTTGCTGCTCTAAGTCTACTTACTAATGATGTTTCCCACTATGTACCTCTTTTCATATACACAGAGAGAGTGCAAACGCAAGGATTTTGTTGTAGCCAAGACTGTAATACATGCTTTCCTAACTACTAAAAACTGCGTGTTTTTCATTCTGTTTACAGATAACATCTTTTCAATAAAGTCCTGGGCCAAACGTAAATTTGGTTTTGAAGAGAGCAGAATTGACAAAAGTTTTGGAATCCCAGAAGATTTGGATTACATTGATTAGTTTTCACCAGTTGATGGCTGACACAATTGTACATAGTTTGTTAAATATTCTTGGTTGGCATTTAAATGTATGTCTGAATCCTCTCCAAACAACTGACCACCCTTTAGTTTGCAGGTTTTCTTTAAGTTAATAAAATTCTAAAAGTATTTGTTGCATTTCGTTTTTTTTTCCTTGTCCTGCCAGAGAGACAGTAAATCACTTGGTTACTTCTGTGAGGCAGACTAAGAATGGACAGGGGATTATTATCACAAACTCCTGAGATTGTTCCTGGGTTTTATTCTTCTCTTGCTTAACTGGGAGTAGTACTAAGAGCTGGAAGCTCCAGGGTTTATGTTTAAACATGTTGAAGGCTTTGGAGTGGAAATAAGAGGGGACAATATGGAATAGAATTTTTTTTTTTTTCCCTCATCTCAATAATGAAATACAAAAGATGCATAATCCATTAACATGGAGACAGTAAGGATGTAAACCGAAAGGCGGAGGTCTGATTTCATGTTGTTCTTTATTGTGTTGCTAGAACTGCTTGTAAGTTTAGTGACAAAATTTTGTTTGTTGTTGGAAAATACTGGTTCATCAGAGCTAGATCTTTTCCAGTGGATGTACTGGACTTGACACCAAGAAAGCTTCCCTGATCGGGACTGTTACTGCATCGGAGAGGGAGGAAAGAGCACCTATCCATCCATTCCCACCACAGTGCACCAAGATGTGGGATGCTGATCTGGGATGTGAGAGACCGAATTCAGTCTGTTCTTCAAATGGCATTGGAGATGCTGAGCATCTCTGCGCTTACATACGTTTTTCAGTTTCAGACTAACAAAGCAGACAACCACAACAAGAACAAATTTCAGAATGTCTCACTTTTGTTTGGTGAAACTTCACAAGCACCTCACTTTTCATCAGCTGCTGGTTTCTAGCTCTGACCGGTGCGTGGCTACAAGAGGCGGGGCGGAGAGTACAGGCTGGTCTGCGACCTCCCCCAGCTCTGGGTTATTGCAAGACCGCATTTCTGCTGCACAGCTCCGCAGGATATCAGCTTTACCCTTATGCGGCGGGTGGGCCTGCTGCAGGGTAGGTGGATGTATTGCTGGAAGGTGTCTGCCTGCCTTCTGCGTAACCTCTGGTGAGTGTACTGCTCAAAAGGTGACATTTAGCTGGAGAGACGCTCAGAAGCCCGTCTCCTGTGACCTTTCCAATTCAAATGTTTCCTAGCAGTTCAGAGTATGTTAGAATCCAAGGATTTTAGGTGCGCCCCTGGCTATTGTCATCCCCTGTCTGTGAAGACAGCAAAGTTATTGGGAAGATAGCGAGTGGAAGATTTTCCTCTCACAGAGGCAGCACAGCGAGCGATCTGCTGCCTAAGGAAAATGCATGTGACGCCTGGCACATAGCAAAATGTCGCTGTGCTTACAACTGCAATGGAGACGCTTCTTTTTATGCATTTGGAAAGATTTTACTCCTAATATATCCAATATGTAACATCTAATGTGTCACGAACCAAGTAACAGCTTACCCGCTGCTAACTGGTAAAAGCTTAATGCACGCAGGTAGTGCTGGGCTGAACGCAGCGAGCCTTACTGGGCCTGGCTTTTGCCCCACGGTCAGAGCACCATCCACCGGCGCTACGTGACGGTGCCCAGCCAAGGTATCCATGCAGGTGTAACTTGGGTGGTTGTTCTTACTCTTGGATTCTGTGCTGTGAAACCCCAAAGAAAGAGTTTTTTCTTTTCTTTGTAGAATATCTCTCTTAAGCAATTTTTATTTATTTATTTGCTAAATACCTGTTTTTTTTCGTGAATCTGTTCTGTACCACCTGACAGGTGCCAGAGGCTCCCTGGCACATCTGCGTTTGAGAGCACGTGTCTGCCACACACAAGATGATGACGACTCAGAAGACGTGTTGGTATTGGGTAAAAACTGAAACATAAGAGGTTTCAGTTGAATGTGGGGAAGAACAACTTCACTTTGAGGGTGACAGAGCACTGGAACAGGCTGCCCGGGGGGGCTGTGGAGTCTCCTTCTCTGGAGATATTCAAAGCCCCCCTGGATGATGTCCTGTGCAACCTGCTCTGGGTGAACCTGCTTTAGCAGGAGGGTTGGACCAGATGATCTCCTGAGGTCCCTTCCAACCCTTGCCACTCTGTGTCTGCGTATTGAAGGAACATTGAGCGTGTGAACTTGGTGGTGGCTCTTGCCTCTCGGAGTCACTTTCACATGGCTGAGCTTCTGCTCGTCAAGGCATCTTGGGTAATTTATGGCCTGTAGCAGTTAGCGCACCAAGACTTCCTCTGGTACCTGCGGGGATGAGGGTTTCTTACTGATTTCTACTGCTTTGGCCGCTTTCCAAATTCAAGAAGGAAATGAAGATGACCAGCTATGCAAGTTCAGCTGCAATATTGTGGCTTCCTGTCTGTAGGGTGGAAGCATTGTGGACTGCAAGAAACCCATTAAATATAATAAATAGCAACTAAATAACTGTACTTGAGGTAGACTTGCTTAGGGATGCTGCAGTCAGCCAGCATGAGTGATACCTTTAAAATGTCAAACACAACCCTCGTGCTTCAGAAGCAAAACTTTAGTTCAAGCGCAAGGAATTTCCAGCAATATAATTTTCTGCCGAGTTTTGGTTTTGTTTTACAGCTACAGACTAGAACTCAGATATGCACTCCCACTCCATTTTCTACTCCTGCCTTCTACTTGTGGTGGTGGTTAGCGAGCCTGGCAGGAGAACGCCTCTCTTCCCATAAGGACACAGCTGTGGGACAGCCAGAACAGAAACCTCTCAGAAACCTGAAGAGAGGCAGGGGAGAAGAGGCGCGTTATTATCAGAAACTGGGGCTTATTCCTCCGGTGGAGTTGATGTATTTTACGCTGCCTTTCTCATGATTCTGCTTTTTTTTTTTAGCATAGGTGACTTCCAACAGGAAAAGCAAATCCAGGCACTTTCTGAGACAAACAGAGGTGATTTGTATGCCGTGAATATTCCAAGATGCTTTCAGACTGCTGCACCTCCTCAATTTTTAAGAGAAGGGTTTTTTTCCTTAAAAAGGTATGCAGCAGACTGCTAAACCCCACAGTACGGAACTACATACGATTATGTGGTCTGAGATGCGCGTTGACATTAATTTTTAAGAGAAGATGAGACTTTTGTCTTCTGGTGAGTTAAAAGTCACAAGCAGTTACAATGATTTTCCTTCTCCTGAGATGTTCCTGGCTATTAGCCTGTAACAAAAACGAAGACGATCAATCTGATCTTGTGTCCCGCTTTGTTTCTTCAGAGTTCTCCTGAGATAGAATATGGGGTATTTCTAAAGAACCTTACATGAAAACAGTGGGGTTTAAATGCTCACTTCTGCTGTCACCCTTGTGGTTGTGTCACCACTATATTATGTATATGTCTTCCTCTTTTTTTTTTTTTTTTTTTTTTTTTTTTTTTTTTTCCCTCCTGCCCTGTAGGCTTTTTGCCCATGTAAGGTAAATATTTTCAACTGTCATAGCTAAGTCAGGAGGTCAGACCCTTATTACAATGCAGGTTTATAATTAAAGCAGCTACTAGTGCAAAGTGTGCAAATCAAAGGCAGCTGTTTTTAGGAGGGTCTGCAGCTCTTGCAGGAGGTCCAGCTTTCCAAAATAATCTCGTGAGGAGTTTATCGCTACAGCACCAGGCTGCGGTGCTGGGTAAGCCTGCTCTTTGGGACTGATGTTGATCAGCCACTGCGAAGCAAACCGAGACACAGGAAAAAATACTCATTTGTACCTCATCTACTTAGGAACCTTACCGGTTTAAAGAAAGCTTGCTGACTCTATCTGCCTTGAAACAACATCAGCTTTTCTTTTAACCAGCCAAGCATGGGCTCCAGGGCTCCTTCTGTCGTTCTCGCAGAGCAGTAAAATGTGAACAGTCACGATGGTGTAGGTTTTGACGTAGTTCAGCTGCTAAACCTTTCATTAATGTGCCCTCTGAAATGTCATTACTTTTTTGGGGTGTAGTATAAAAGGGAAAATCCAGGCTCCGAAGTAAATGGCACAGTGATGCTGTGACCAAGTGGCCAAGCTGGAACTGAAACTTACTGGGAGAACGATGGGAAAAGAAACCCAACCTGTGATGGTGACTAAGAAGTTTGATGCAAGAGCTCCTCACATGGTCCTGCTGTCGCCCAGGTGTATTTGCACTAGCCAGGTGGTCAGGCTGGTGCTCATCTTCACCCTGTTCCTTGTAGAGGTGGCGTTTGTAGGATTACGTTTTCTGTCATTTCTCTCCTACTCTTCCCTCCCAGTGTTCTTAACTTTTGCAGTGGATTTCAGCCAAATTTATCCTGAGGGGCTGCGGTGTGACCTTGTGATTTCTCTCTTCTGCTCGGCTGGCTGCCCGATAAATATAGCCTTTCCCTTTCCCCCCTGCCAGCGCAGGGACCCAAGAAGGGACCCAAGCATGCTGGGGGTGGGAGGAGGAAGGAAAAATGTTGAAGGCGGCTGTAAAAGACCTGGAAGCGTTTGGTGCCTGCTGATGGCAGAGTTTACGTGTGGGTCTGGCGGCGGTGCTGGAGATGAGATGGGGTGGCGTGCGCACCATTTCCGTGGGAAAGAACAGGGAAACGGGTCTCTTGGCAGCCTGACTTTGCTACTTCTGCTGCTCGTGGAGCTGTGATGATTAGTCTGGGGGTTTGTGGCACTGTAAATCTACACAAGGCTTTACTGAGACAGCAATTGGATATCTTGCCTGCTCTAGAGGATCAGCACACCCCAGAAGTGCACGTGTCGAGTGGCTTCAACAGCCGAAGCTCTTGGCTGATCCTCAGTGTCCCGCAGGTGCCTGGATTCCTCCCTGCGCAGTTAGCTGCCTTCTAGGTACAATGCTCATGTGAATATTCCTGTGCTTAAGGGATCTGCCCTCGCAGCAGCGATAGCCTTTCTCTTCAGCTTCCTTTTCTCCTTGTTCCTGTTGCTTTTTCTCTTCCATCCCTCCACTGTCATCTCCCTTTCAGAGCTGCCTACAGAAGCAA